GTGTCTGGCCGCCTGCCCCCTCCGAGCGGGGGCGGAGGCACACCGGCTGGGTTATGAGCCAGGGCCAGCGAACGGTGCGGACAAGGGGCAGGGCGAGGAGGCCACAAGGGTGACATCACCAGTGGGGCGGCCCGAAGGGGGGCCGGAGGCGACGAGGGGGGTGACGTCATCTGCCTGCGACCGGCGGGCAGTTTAAAAGGTCGCACCGGACCAGTGAGAGGGGGGGACACTGGTGAGACGGACCCACCCTGGCAGCGAGCGGGAGGGCTCAGGTACTGGAGGCCCTGGGCAGGGGCCCGGGCGGCGAACGGAAGGCCTCGGTGGCGAGGTGATTTAGGCCGGGGGAAGAAGTGGCCCAGGGCGGGGACGTGGACCCCGAGAGCGGGGGAGTTTAGGGTTCTCGACCCTTCCCCCCCGCTAGGTGGGAATTCTTTTCCTGACCTTAGGGCCCTGGGTCGGGGTCCGGAGCGAGGGCGGGCCCGGACCCCCTTCCCCCAACCAGCTGAGCAGAGCAGAGCCGGGCGTGCACGGCCGACAACGGCTAAAAGGACTAAGGGAGGGCGGACTTAAGCCCTCCCCGGGGGCGCAATCCCCCACACGTGGTGGAGAACGTGGGCACTGTAGACCCCGGGACGGGGGTCTAGACCAGGGGCAAGGCGCTAACGGGATGTTGATTGTCAGGAGACGATGGAGGCAAATAAGATCCTGGAGTGGTGGACGGAAACCCAGAAGGTGCAGCAGCAACAGCAGATGCAGGCGTTGCAACAGCTCCTCAACCAATTCCAAGAGCGGCAGGAGCAGATGGCGCGAGGGGCCCCGGCGAAGATACCCGGGATGGCTGGGGGCCCCAGAGGAGGGGAAGGGATCGGCACCCAATTACCGATACGGCTGATGAAAATGGGGCCGGAGGATGACCCGGAGGCTTTCCTGGTGACCTTTGAGAGGGTGGCCACCGCAGCGAAATGGCCCCAGGAACATTGGGCAACCCTCCTCGCTCCCTATTCGTCGGGGCCAGCCCAGCTGGCGTATCGGGGGATGTCGGCCCGCAACGCATTGTGCTACTTCAAGGTTAAAGAGGCATTTCTCGATCAGCTGGGGGTCACCCCGGAGACCCACCGCCCCAGGAACATTGGGCAACCCTCCTCGCTCCCTATTCGTCGGGGCCAGCCCAGCTGGCGTATCGGGGGATGTCGGCCCGCAACGCATTGTGCTACTTCAAGGTTAAAGAGGCATTTCTCGATCAGCTGGGGGTCACCCCGGAGACCCACCGCCGGCGGTTCCGCGAAGCCAAGTACGTCTTCATGAGCAACCGCGAGCCGTGGCCCAGCAGGTGAGGAAAGCAGGGATGAGATGGCTCGAACCGGAGACCAAGACAGGGGTCCAGGTGGCCGACCTGGTCATATTGGAACAGTATGTCCGTATCCTCCCCGCAGAAGGGCAGCAATGGGTACGGCGGCACCTACCGGAGACCCTGGATGAAGCTGTAACCCTCATTGAACATTACTTGGCCGCCGAGGGGACAGAAGGGAAAGTAACTATAGGAACCCCGAGGGATCCCAGGAAGGGCGAAACGAGGGCGCCGAAGCCCGTAGGAGCTCAACACGGCGGGGAGGTGCGGAGAAACCCCTTAGGGCCCCTCCCTGAGAGGAGGTTGGCACCCCGGTGGAGCTGGCCAGGCGGCGAAGCCAGGGTGGACCGGGCGACCGAGACGGGGTCGGGTGCCCCCCCGCCAGAAGGAACCCCGAAGGTAATTTGCTATCAGTGCGGCCAGGAGGGCCACTACAAAAAGGACTGCACCCTGATGGACTGTACCTTCGGACAGAGGCGCGCCGGCGGCACCGACAGAAGGGCGGCAAGTCCGGCGACCCCGAAGGTAATTTGCTATCAGTGCGGCCAGGAGGGCCACTACAAAAAGGACTGCACCCTGATGGACTGTACCTTCGGACAGAGGCGCGCCGGCGGCACCGACAGAAGGGCGGCAAGTCCGGCGCAGGTAATAAAAGAACTGTGGGTGAATGGGAACCCGGTGGAAGCCATATTAGACTCGGGGTGCGGACAGACCATTGTCCGAAAGGATGTGATATTCCCGGTGCAGGCCAGGGGCGCTCCCATAGCCCTCCGGTGTGTCCATTGGGACATTCATTACTACCCCACGACCCGGG